TTGGTCCATCTAAAACAAAAGATATTATACTACATATGTTGTCAAATTAATCGCCGACAAAATGTTTTCTTAATTCAGGAGTTAATTTTTTAGCTACTTTTAATTAATTTAAGAATGAGGTTACTTTAAACTAAATTGTTTTGACATTTTTTCTTCTGACCATACTCTGCCCAGTTGCAATGTCTACTTACGAATCCATCCCGATGCTACGGAGTGGTTCTGAGGTATGGTTAGCATCTTAGGTTAAGCCTAACTCATCGGGAAGTTAGTTTAAAATCGATTGCACAATTAATAGTGAACAGACCATCAACCAAAGAGACAGAAAAGAATATGAGTTTATATTGTGTTGTCAACTAGTTCTGAACTTAATTAAAAATAGATTGCAAAATTTGTACCAAACAGACAAACTATGAAGAAAGCTAATTTAAAACGAAGTAAAAACTGTATAGAGGTAAATAGATTTCAATATATACAATTAATAAATACTGTCCTAGAAACACAAAATAGATCGATTACAAAAATATGATCTAAAAATTAACATTCAAAAAATACTACGTAATATATGAAATTAAATGAACTTATTAGAAAAAAAATTGGAACGAACTCGTTTGACACTTATTAGTGTATGTACAAATTTTAAAAATATGGCCTTTTACTTCAATAAAAATATATTATTAATTTCCCACTAACATAACAAATGAGTATTTTACATATAATTTTTAAGCCAGTTTAAGTAAATGAGCACTTTTTGTGTTATGTCCGTCACACGAAAAGTTAAATTTGTACAAACGAATGCATTAATTCGAGATACTTTTTTGATTGAGTGGGTTTCAAGTCTTCACAAGGTCCTTCGTTTTTATAATGACATTCTCAAAATATGTACAAATGTATACCGGCCTAATGTAATCAAAACCTCCCAAAATACATTATTATCCAAATATTTAATTCTATTTAGGCATAAGGCACCACATTTAGTAATTACGTATTCCTAGCGTATAGACAATATTCTGTAAAGTCACAAAAATACTAGTAATATAAATAATAAATAAATAATTTTTAGATCCTTTATTAAAAGTATGTATAATTTTTGAAACCATATTACTACTGTCAAAAACAACAATTTTCTTTCGTCCAGTGATGGTTGACATGTAATTCGTCAATGCAGTTGTTAACACTTCTCCAAATTATTTTCGAGAGAGATATCTCTCAAATATATCTTTCCGCTTGAAGGCACATTATAGTGATGTCTGTTAAATATCTAGACTACTTCAATAGTTAAAGGAAAATGACGTATTTATAATATAATATTTTAACGCTGCAAAGAAAAGATTCGAATACACCGCCGCGAGATCTCATTTATCACTGTATTAAATATAAAGAATGGACGAGAAATTAGACAGCAAATGTCTAATTTCTTGAAGATTGCGACGCCACTCACTGCTAAGGAACTATTTTAGTTAAAAGGACTCTTTTTGAAATAGTAAGCACTATCATAAACCTTGTATATTTAACTATTGTTATTTGAAGAAAAACTCACTTTAATAATATTTTGAGAATATCATGATACGACCGAAGGTAAAATGATTACTTATAAAATGTTCTCGTCGTGCGTTAAATACACACAAATTCATAAGTGTCTATTATGGAGTCGGGAAAGTAGCGGAGAAAAAATTATAGGAAAGAAAGTGCAAGCCTTTGTGCATCAACCAATGTAATCTTATAAGAATTTGTTTAGTTAGGTGCTCATAAGCTATGGGCAGCTTTTACAAAATAAATAAAACTAAACTAACCTTTCAGCTTATGTTACTCTATTTTTAATTGTGACGTCTCCTTTTTTGATATTTTATTCTAGAATCAAGTATGAAAATTGTTATATTTTGATTTGAAATTCTAGTTTTTGGAATGTAAAAAAGCCATAGAATTGCTATTATATATTAATAAGCAATTACTCTGTTATATAAGAATATTTACTCATATAACAATTCAAAGCCTATTTTCAGTTTGTTACAAAATTCTGAAAGGATTTTTCGTGACTATTGTGACTAACACTTTTTGTGACTACGAAGCACCATTGTCGCTTCAAAACGAAACTACGAATAAAACGTATTATATACTAGGCTGTCTTTATATCTTCGTTTTATTACGATAAACGTTTTTAAAATGTCGTTTGATTTAGTTAATTAGTAATTATGCTAATTAGTTTCGTATTGTTAGTAAAGCACTGATTACTTCCCGAATATTATCTATATGTCGTAGGTTTATGATAAAATCCTGTTTTTGATCAAAAACCGGAAGAAGAAATAATTACTACTTTATGTTATCCTAACGTAAATAAACCTGAGAAAATCCAGGTTTTGATCAAAAACCTAGACTGATTTAATTTTATGATAAAATCAACCCAACCTAAGCATAAATTTAATCATTAACCTAAACAAGTTCAGCTTTTGAATCAAAAAACAGAATTCGTTGTATATAAACCTGTATGGTTGGTATATTTGGAGTATCATAAACCTGTGACATATAGAAAGCAATGTCAGATTATATAATATTTAACATAAATATACACTTTGCTTTGTCACTCTTTCCTCATTCATTCTTTCCACATGGCCAAACCACCGAAGCATTCCTTTCTTAATCCTGGTCACAACATCATCTTGCAAACCACACTCTTCTCTTATTAAACAATTTCTCACTCTGTCATTCAGCTTCATCCCTAACATACTCCTTAATGACCGCATTTCTACAGCATTTATTCTACTCTCATGCTTCTTCTGCCACACCCAACTTTCACTACCATACATTAAAGTAGGTACTAACACAGCATTGTGAATTGCCATACGTGCCTTTTTGGACACATTCTGACTTTTCACAATAGAGTGTAGAGCCCCATTCACTCTATTTCCTGCATTCACTCGTCGTTCTATATCCTTATCATATCTACCATCCCTGCTAAACACACATCCCAAATATACAAACTCATCTACTTGCTCTACCAACTCCCCTTCTATTCTTATTTCACATATCGTTTTACTTTCTTCTCTTTCAAAAACCATAACTTTCGTCTTACTTGCGTTCACTTTCATTCCCTTTTCTTTTAATGTCCTGTTCATTAATGTAACCATCATTTGCAACTCGGCTGCCGACGACGCAAGTATGACTTGATCATCGGCGTACAAAAGGCATTTGACGGTTAACTCACCCATTCTTAACCCGCATTCTTCTACTTTCAAATTTTCCAAACAACTGTCCATAAACAGGTTGAACAACCACGGGGAAGCCACACAGCCCTGTCTGACACCTTTATGGATGTCAAACCAGTCCGAGTAGGCCCCGTTGATCCTGACACAAGCACTAGAGTCCCTATATAGAGACTTCAATGCCTGTATCAGACCAGCGCTCAACCCAAATGAGTTCAGTGTTAAAAAATGTTAGCAAATTTATGTTGCAGAGGTGAACGGCATAGTCGGGAAGGGTCGCCCTAGGCGAAAGTTTATCGACCAAATTGGCGATATATTAAAAATGGGCCAAATCAAGAGTACCTTTAACCGACGAGCGTGTATGCGTAGGTATATGGATGTGGAGGAAGCGAGAGAGGTGTGTCAGGATCGTGCCAAATGGAAGTCCATAATCTCTGCCTACCCCTCTGGGTGACAGGCGTGAGTGTTTATGTTATGTTATGTTATGTTATGTTAAATATACACTTATAGATTGTTTAGTATTAAAGTACATAAAAATATTTGAGATAAGAACAACATTTTTTGAATAAAAAGTTTAGGCGCCATGTGGATGACGCCAATACAAAAATTTGACTTCAAATCACAATTAATAAATTATGTAAGTTAACATAAGTCTCATTCGTAAACAAATCGCTTTAAAATTTGGAGATTCAATATCACAGAGATTTCGCGCAACGTTTTATTAATTCCTTTTCTTAATGCAATCATGCGTTTCTAATTAATAAGACATCGGCCCTGAGCTACATTATGACGTCAAAGTATTACTGTACCAACAGCATATAAAATAGTTTACAAAAACATTTAAAAATCCTATTTGGAATATTTTGCCTACCTATTGGTGAAAATTTTAAAAGAAAATAACATTTTTAATATTTAATTTTATATAAGTAATCGAAAACTTACTTAATTTAGTATGCTAAGATGTTTAAACACTGGTCATGTGATATTTTTTACGATATTATTTATTTATTGTTACATTTACAAAGTGAAGATATAAAATCAATTATAGTTTTTTTTTTTATAGGAGAGGGGGCAAACGAGAATGCGGCTCACCTGATGGTAAGTGACTACCGCCGCCCATGAACAACTGCAACACCAGGGAGGGAATTGCAGATGCGTTGCCGGCCTTTTAAAAAGGAGTACGCTCTTTAGTGTCATTCTGGTCACAATGGCGTCTTAATAACCTTTCTATAAACGCATAGCACTACAGTTTAAATTACTTATCTTCTATCTTTCCTTAATATAAATCAAGTTCACTAATGTTAGCTTACATATTTATCTATCTAAGCTTTCTGTATAACTTAACGAGGCACTTTTTTATTTTAGCTGTTAGTCGGTATAATTCACTCAAGATGTTGATGATTACAGTAATTCTTAAACAAGTAGTCCTAGGTTTATTTTGGATTGTTTCCAAGTCAAAGGTTCGACCTCGATTAAGTTTTTATATTTTAAACACCAATCTATTGCAGTCTGAGCACAGGTATTGAATTGGCTGTTCCATTGCAAAACCAAGTAAGGACTTAACTTGAGTTTAGCAGGAAATTGATGAAACATAAATCGAGATAGTACTTGAAAAGTTTTGTTTATTCTATATACAAGGACTTAAAGAGATTAAAATTTTGGGTTATTTTAAGGATTTATTGCCGGTGTTTTATCTTTTTGTAAGGAATTAATACATGTAAGATTTTAAATAAATACATCTTTTTAATGTCACTTACTGGATTTTGATTTGGAACAGCCGGAATGGCCCTAAGAGGGAGATAGTTATATAACAGCACTGCTGGCCATCATGTTGACGCCACAGGTGCCGTCGCCGCGGTACACGCGATAATAGCCCTGTTCGCCCCATGATGTGCCCCAAGAGTTCTTGATGGTCCAGTAAGGGAGACGCTTGTGGAAAAGAGGGTAGTCTGCAAAAAAACATCGATATGAAATTAGAACTTTGTACCATAAATAATTACGGTGTACCACAGGGCAGCATCCCGAGACCATTATTGTTATCATAATATAAGGTCGTGTCTTATAAACTTATGACACAACTTTATATAAATCTGCACATATCTTGTTCATGTGCAATACTCTAGAGAATGTATAGATACATAATATTAGATCTTTACCCGTGAAATTTCCGTCTGGTATGGGAAAATTGGGAACAGAAATTTTACATAAATGTGTTGAAGAAGAAATGTTGAAGAGCAATTCACAATCTGGGTTGTTTAAGTGCCAGCTCCTTCACTATAATTTGTAATTCATGAAAATAAGTAAAAGTAGTAACTGCGGCACCAGATGGCAAGTAAATAACGCTAACAGTAGATCATCAAACTCTCAGAATAAGCTTCTTTTGGTTAATCTTTTGTTTCGGTTTAATGTATGGAAACCCACCTTTCTCGCCATATCCCACGATGAGTACGCCGTGATCAATTTTGTTAGGATTGCATAGTATCTTCCACGGGTGGGACACCCCACCCACATAGAACTGCATAGCGTTTGCGTTTATACCTGTGAAATAAAATTCTATTATGACTACAAGAACAGTAACGTTTGCCAACAATAATTTTAATCAATTGTCTCATAATTGTCAAAAATTCGAATATGATACGCAATATCGCGTCTTTTCTTAAGGAGGCGTTAATATTAAATATGAAAAAGGACAGAACAGAACTAATGTTGTTGACGGCTCCGTGACGCAGTGGCTTAGCAATCAGTTGTTGCGCTGGGGGCCGCGGGTTCGAATCCCGCACGGAACAAGTATTTGTATGGCCTACAAATAATTGTTCCGGGTCTGGATGTTTGTCCTTGTGCAATTTATGTTTGTAAACTGCCTCCATGACACAGGAGAAAATCCTAGTGTGGGGGTAACGTTTTAAAAAAGAAAGAAAGAAAGAAATGTTATAATTCAATGTCTGTAGTTATTGTAACTTTAATAATGTGGATTTGATGTCTAGCTAAAAGTATAAGAACGATTTTATGTAGCTAAATTAAGGTATGGTCACATATCGAGATTAGAGCACTCCATCGCGTTGTGAGGCGTGCAAAAGGACAGAACGTAGTCAATATATTTTGTCATAAGCCTGTACTTCAAAATATGTTGACTTAAATAACTCATTCCTGTATCATATATCACTATAAAGAAAGTCTATTACTACAATATCATAAACTTTATTGGCGAATGAAAAGAATACTAAAGATTTTTCTTGACCTATTGATATGGGCCCATTATTGACCAGCCATTTAGCCATGTCAGTCTCATTGGAGGTAATGTTGACGGCGCCGCTGATGGTGACCTTCGATAAACTTTTGTTGAAAGAGCACTTGTCGTCCTCGCCTTCGTAGGGGTAATCTCTCTCCGTCTCAAGTCCACCCAACTGCTCAATAGCTCTGGAATTAAAAAACACAGGTGCCTTTCACTGAAAATATCTACTAAACTACCGCAAACACCAGTCTGTCTGTCAAGTTCAGCCGTTACATTGCACCCTTATTTTACAAAAAAAAAAGGTTTTTTCTTTTCGTAAAATAAGTATGACAAACGAACACACAGTCCACTTGATGGTAAGTGGATGCTGGGGTCCATAGTCATATACATCTATCCTCAATCAAATTACGGATGAGTTTATGTAATGATTTCTTATATTTAAGCGAAAACTACACATAAAATAAAACTATATTTACGGATTTTGTAGCGTTTAAATTTTCGTATTTTTATTTCCCGACGTTTCGGTTACTTTGCAACACTTCGAGTGCTGCACCTTGCTGTTTGTGTGCTAAAGCTGTGTGTATGCTGCTGTGGTTTTGGGGTGCTGCAAAGCACCAGAAACGTTGGGAATGTGCTAATACGTTGTAAACCCTGAGGACTAACAGTGAATGCCTCGTTTCCAGTAAAAAGGGTCTTCGTTTCCCTACACTCACCATACGAAACAGTAGCATTCAGCTGCTATATCACGCTGGTATTCTGTGAGAGCGTGGTCATTCCACGGTCGAGCGGACCCATTCGTACTACAAATATATTATATAATATCTAAATAAATAAATAAATCATAATAATAATATATGGGCAATATAATTATACTCTTGTTTTAATTAAAAGTACCTCATTACAAAAATGGTGGCATTTAAATCATACATTAGCTTTTATTTCCGTCTCTTTTATTTACCGCTTGGAAATTCCAGCCGTTCTTTCAACATTTCTGTATGGTTCTATTGAATCACAACCTATTAAAACTCCAGTATTATATTTATTGCTTTGTGAACCATAACTAGAAACATCGTTATGTTTGTGTCATAAGTAACTATAGGAAAATTTGTGATTAAATTGTAAGGTGCATTGGGGAAATACCGACAGAAATTACGAAGACATGACGAGATTTGTGCACTTTGTTATATTACTTAGAATAGGTTTAAATTCGCAATTAAATAAATTTATTAATAATTTTAATATTGTTAGTTAAACTGTGTTTATGTTAAGACTAGCTGTTCCCTGCGACTTCGCGGAATTTATTGCGATTGGATTTCATGGGTCTTGTAGTGTATATTATCTTTGGTACTGTCGCGTTTTGGTTTGTGATAGACTTCGAAATTATAATACCCGCAGAAGAATCAGAGTAAGCGACATAGCATTCGGATCAGTAAGCTTCTCGAGTGACAGCCTCGTATTTAGACGAAGTGCAGGGCAACCCCCCACTAAATGGAGTAACAACGTTATAAGAGAACCAAAAGTCGATAGATGCAGGTGGCTCAAAGCCGTGCTCTGTGCCATTTCTTGGGAGAGGCCTATGTTCAGCGGTAAACTTGTAAAGGGCTGCAATAATAGTGAAGGTGAAGTACCGAATAAGTAGATTAAGCCCTTTCTCACACCAATATATTTTACGATGGACCCACTCGAATAAAACGTATTTAGAATGGACCCGCGAGTCCATTGTATATCCTCGTATAAATATTCTAAACGTGCGCTATTCGCATTGCTCGTGTGTCGCCCCTAAACAATTTTACTAAGTTTACCAGGAAAATATCTTGGCCTTCAACAGTTAACGTAATAACCGTCTAAATAATGCCAGATCTATAAAATAGTTTAACCTAGTCTAAGGTCAATGTAAAGACTATTTCCTCAAATCCATAATCTCATTAACACAGACTGTTAATTAACGAGCCATATAACTATACTAGCTGTACCCCGCGACTTCGTCCGCGTGAATTTATTACGATTGGATTTCATGGGCATTAATTTTTTACGCGGAACTCTAACTCTTATTCTAAAATAAAAGTAGCCTAACTTACTTCTCATAATATCAGCTATTTGCCAGTAAAAGTCCCGTCAAAATCTGTCAAGCCATTTCGGAGATTAGCCGGAGCAGACAGACAGACATACGGACAAAAATTTCAATTTTTTTTTGATATTAGTACCGTATATACTTTCATACACATTTAGCAAAAAGCTGTTATTTTGGCATTACAAACAGACACTTCAATTTTATTTATTTGTGAAGATATCTAACGAACTATAGAACTATAGAACGAGAGCCGCGGTAGCTGAGATGGTTAGCGCTCGTTATAAGCCTGTTGGACCTTCTGCTGACCTCTCATCCGGACGGATATCAGGTTTCCGTCGATGCCCCTCTCGGCTCTTCGGACCATTGTCTGATCCGGAGTGTGGTGCCACTCACGCTCCCTTCGCGGTTGCGTTCTGCAGGTTGCCGCCGTGTTTGGCATTACAGGTCGGCGGATTGGGACGGAATGCGGTCCTTGTTTGCATCCTACCCATGGGGGCGGGTTTGCTTCTCGCCGGATGATCCCAGCGCTGTTGCTGACTCTGTCACTGATGTGGTGCTACAGGGAATGGAACTATTTATTCCATCATCTGTGGTACCCATCGGAGGCAGATCTCAGCCTTGGTTTGGTCGCTCCTGTAAGACTGCATTACGCAGTAAGCAGGAGTGTTATCAAGCCTGGGCTGCGGCTTCGGCGACTCGGGATGTAAATACCAGCACACTTAAAAAGAAGTATAACTTCGCCTCCAGGTCCTTCAAAAGAGTTATTGCCAAGGCAAAGTCAGAGCACATAGGCAGAATTGGCGAGAAACTAGTTCGCCTTCCTTCGGGAACCCGTGCATTCTGGTCTCTCGCCAAGGCTGTCCAAGGGAATTTCTGTAAGCCATCACTACCATCTCTGCACAGGGAGGATGACTCACTGGCCCATGACGCAAAAGATAAAGCCGACCTTTTAGGCTCCCTTTTTGCGTCCAACTCGACTCTTGATGACGGGGGGAAAACACCGCCGACCATCCCGCGGTGTGAGTGCTCCATGCCGGATGTGCTGTTCTCACAGCGCTCGGTTCGCAAAGCACTGCTCTCCCTGGACATCCAGAAGTCGAGTGGGCCTGACGGAATCCCCCCAATTTTGCTGAGGACGTGTGCTCCGGAGTTGGCACCGGTCCTAACGCGTCTTTTCCGGTACTCCTACTCCCAAGGCGTAGTCCCGAATTCATGGAAGACAGCTTTTGTCCACCCGATCCCTAAAAAAGGCGACCGCTCAGACCCATCCAACTATAGGCCTATCGCGATCACCTCCTTGTTCTCCAAAATAATGGAATCCATTATTAACTGCCAGCTCATCCGGTACCTTGAGGATCACCAGCTGATTAGTGACCGCCAATACGGTTTTCGTCGGGGTCGATCAGCTGGTGATCTTCTGGTCTACCTGACCCATAGATGGGCGGAGGCAGTAGAGTCCAAGGGGGAGGCGTTGGCCGTTAGTCTGGACATTGCGAAGGCCTTCGATCGGGTTTGGCACAAAGCGCTTCTTTCGAAGCTCCCTTCCTATGGGCTTCCCGAGAAATTGTGCAATTGGATCACCAGCTTCCTTGCAGATCGGAGCATCAAGGTCGTTGTAGACGGTGCATGTTCTGACTACAAGCCTATTAACGCTGGTGTTCCACAAGGCTGTGTGCTATCACCAACGCTGTTTCTTCTGTATATCAATGATATGTTGCTAACTGGTAACATTCATTGCTATGCGGATGACAGCACTGGTGATGCCAATATTTCGCGGGAAAACGTCGCTGAGTACCGGAACAAACTTGTGTCTGAAGTCGATTCTTTGCTGAACAAAGTCTCGGATTGGGGGCGACTAAATCTAGTCTAATTTAATCCTCAGAAGACACAAGTTTGCGCGTTTACCGCTAAAAAGAACCCCTTTGTCGTATCTCCTCAGTTTCAAGGCACTCCCCTTCTTGCCTCAGCCAGTATCGGTATCCTCGGAGTCGACATATAGAGTGACGTGCAGTTTCGTGGTCACTTGGAAGGGAAGGCCAAATTGGCCTCTAAAAAGCTTGGCGTGCTCAGCAGAGCGGGACAGTATTTCATGCCGGCACACCGCCTGCTACTTTACAAGGCGCAAGTTCGGCCTCACATGGAATACTGTTCCCATCTCTGGGCAGGGGCTCCCCAGTGCCAGCTCCTTCCACTTGACCGCATCCAACGCAGAGCGGCTCGAATTGTCGACGACCGAGCCCTTTCCGATCGGCTCGATTCATTGGCACTGCGAAGAGATGTTGCATCCCTTTGCATTTTCTTTCGCATATACCATGGGGAGTGCTCTGAGGAATTGTTCGGATTAATCCCAGCCGCCAAATTTCACGAACGCACATCGCGGCAGAACTCCCGATACCATCCACACCATCTGGATGATTGGCGGTCCACCACTGTGCGATTTAGAAGATGTTTTCTTCCTCGCACGACCTCCTTGTGGAATCGATTACCATCAGCGATTTTTCCGGACCGATACGACTTAGGGACCTTCAAGAAAAGAGCGTACTCCTTTTTAAAAAGCCGGCAACGCATCTGCGATTCCCCTGGTGTTGCAGTTGTTCATGGGCGGCGGTAGTCACTTACCATCAGGTGAGCCGCATGCTCGTTTGCCCCCTCTCCTATAAAAAAAAAAAAAAGCTTCACAGTACTCGAGCAACCAGAGTTCAATCCCCGCCGGCACCACTGAAATTGTTAATTGCAATTTTAAGTGCTGATTTACCACGTGCTCGGCGGTGAAGGAAAACATCGTAAGGAAACCTGCATGAAAAAAATATTTCGAAGACATGTGAAGTTCGCCAACACGCTCACACACGCTAGGCTGCAACTTTACTTTATATATATATATATATATATATATATATATATATATATATATATATCCATTAAAATACCTAACCTAAATCCCTAACGGGGACTAATAAGCTAATAAAAATTATTTTATATCTTTAATTTAAAATCATGAATTTAACACCTAAGGATATATATACTATATAGGGCAGACTTAATGCTATGTTGCATTCTCTGCCAGTCAACGCTGGATGCCAAAGACAAAGGCTTTTTACAACATAGTCCCAGAAAATATGCAGGACCTATATATCAAAAAGTTTAAAATATTATTAAGCTAAAATTGTCTAGTAAGGGTTATTATACTACTAAAGAGTACATGATTGATAATGACCCCTGGGAATGAGGTTATCGCTACCATGCTGTTTCTTAATGTTTTCATACTTAATTGTATAAAATATATTGTAAATTAATGTTTACAAAAAAGTCCCGCTGGGTTTCTTGCTGGTTCTTCCCAGGGCAGTGTCTTTTTTTTCTGAACCAGTGGTAAGAACATAAAATGACTTTCAATAAGTAATATTCTGTAATCTATATTGTATGAAATTATTCCAGTGTTTCCAGGTGCGAAATTTATTAGTCATAATAAAGTGTACATAATATTTTAACAGCGTGGCAACTATGGCGAATATGAAGCAATCTATAGGGGAGGCTTATGTTCAGCTGTCAGCAGTGGACTTTCAGTAGGCTGTAACGATAACGGCAATATAAACATTTAAACATTGGTACACACACGGTATACACATACATTATATTATACATACTTATATATAAGTACTTATAAATAATGCCTATTATAATATATATATATACACATATATATAGCAGCTCAACGCCGCTGTGTTTCGTATGTGTAGGGAACTGGAGACCCTTTTTATTTTTATGTATTGGAAACAAGGCATTCCATCTTAGTCCTCACGGGTGACAAAGCATCTGCATTTTGATTTGTAATCGAGGATAGATGTAGATGTCTATGGGCCGCAGCAACCACTTACCATCAGGTGAACTGTGTGCTCGTTTGTCACCCTCATTTGATATTTAAAAAAGTTTTTGTTTTCTAACTATTCGATGGCGCCATAGTGACATTCCAAAGGTGTACTATTAAAACACTAAAATCCTTGCCCAAATACGCTATTCAACGTTATTTATAGAAATTCTTAAGGAAAGTTTTCGTGTTTATACATTCATATTTTTAATATAAAGAAAGGAAAAAAAATATATAAATGACAATATAGCGTTTTGTAATCTAGTTGTCAAAATATAACATCACAATGGTGTATCTCATCGGTATGAAGTCAGCGCTTGCTAGTGTTTTTGTGATTTGGAACACAATGTAGTAATTACGACGAGGACGAATGAAAATTCTGTGATGAATTCTTTAATAAAGTGCAAAATAACAATAGCTTACCTATAGGCATTGTCCGGCAATCCTCCGTTACAACCTTGGTCCAGTCTGTCGCAGTCAACTAGCTCCTGCTCGCTCAATGATACCAGATTACCTGTCTTTATCTTCCATTGACCCTCAATGTTGCCTGCAATTCATGTCAATCACATTGTTATATACGTTGTTTCAATGTTAATAAGTTTGGAATTATTAACACTAATAAACTGTCTCTGACTTAAAATGTTAAAAGTAACCAACATAATAAGTCCTGCCTAAAACACGCGGGATATATCGTTATACAAATACATACATATACAACATGTAACAAAATCCCTTTTGTCCTGTTAAGTCTAGTATCAGAATCTGTATTCATAAGTATAGAAATAGCTTTAGTTCAAAAACTCAACCATATTTTTACGAGTATTTAATTAAATTTAAATAAAATTTTGTTACCAAACTGTATACGATTTTAACCCCCCGAAGTAAAAAGAGGGGTGTATATAGTTATAAGTTTGACAGCTGTCTGTGACACCGTAGCTCTTAAACAGGTGAACCGATTTGTGTGCGGTTTTTTTTTTAAATTTAAAAGCAGGTTTTCTAACGGTGGTTCTTAGGCATGTTTTATCAAAATCGGTGGAGCAGTTTGAAGATACTCAGCTCTTTTTGTTTCGGAGGTTTTCACATTTTTAAATTTACCTCTGCATTAGCCAGGGTGTAATAATATTGTTAAATATCTCGCCTTATCTATACAAGTGTCAGTTAGAGGTAATAAAACCAAATACAATTTGCATATAAAAATGTATTTAAATGCAATTATATTTTTTATGGTCGAGTTTTCTCATACGTTTAAATAATGGTTCTGATAACGCACTCAACGGGAACCACAGGGTTTTTGTTACATACATAATATACCTTTATTAGTATATACGAGTTGGTATAGTTGTGTTGCAATTACATTTTTCTTTAGATCGTGGATTAGCTACATAAAAGTTCACATTTCCTATAATGAAAATACAGGGCTCATAAGATGTATCATGACCCTTAGAGTATTTATAAGCAAGCTATAGAACGCAAGTTCGCGAGTGTGAACAGTAAGCACGGGTGTGTACATGATTTCTTTCGTACTGTGAACAACATAAATAATTATCATATAATTATATTATTAGAAGTTAAGATTTTTTTTGTATTCCAAACCCATATGGATCAATGTCTAAAATAAAACTTTGAAAAATATTTTTTATATATAACTATTTTTATAGGTATAAAACATAATGAATGTAAATACGGTTAAAATGCTTTTCTAAATTTAGACTTCTGAAAAGTCTTGAATTGGGAAATTGATGTCATAAGTAGTAACAAGGCCCAATTAACAGGAGCCCAACATCAGGAGTTTCGTTCGTTTTATCCATTTTAGTGCTTCGTACATTTTTTTAAAGCAAGGGTGGACTGCAAAATTTGGATTGAGGTGCAATACCAAGTGCCGTTTTTATTTTTATTCGGCTGTTATCAGGAAGATGCTGCTGCCGATCTCTTAGCTGTTTCCCTTCGCCTCTTACGATACCTACAGAATGATATTGGGCATTGGATATTCCTACACCTCCACTACACAGTTTACATAGTTGAGAGGATACGATGCACGACCAGACCAAATCATAGATTTGGTCTGGCAAAGTTAATAGTGAGATTCCACCTTCTGGCATTTACCATAATCGGATCCTATGATACCCCTCGAATGAGATAGTGTAATGAATTCCCTGATAACTAAATATATGCATAAAAAGTTTTGATGAAAGTAAAAAAACTAATACCTGTAACACTGAAAGCCCAACAACTGCCACAGGACCCTTGATCCTTTACTTCAGTGACAGCGCCACGTTCGCGCCAGTCTATCCGATCAGGCAGGCTAACATCCGGTATCACTGCTTTCCTCATAGGAATATAGTTATGATTCCTTAAGCTCGGCTTCAATCCCAAATATTTACTACTAAATTCCTCATATGTAAGATCAGCAAATTTCGTAACACCATACGTTGCAGTACCTCTCTCGTGAGTGTTCAGTTCGTGGATCTTTCTCACGTTGTCCTTAAAAATTTCAAACCTCTTCAACATATTTTCACGGTCATTTAAATAGGCCGGTCTGTATGTAGCGAGAAAATCGTAAAATAGATGTTGGGCTTGTAGATGTCTGTGTAAGGTATCGTCAAAATTATCATAGTTGCATGATACGCGAAAATTTGGGGGGTGGTCTGTCCACGGCCGCATCCATACGTTCACCCGACAAAATGTGTTTGCGCCCATATCACTGACCAATGTACAGTTTTGTTTAATGCTCAATGCTAAACAGTTTGTTGCGCCCACTTCAACCTTCATTCTATAGTGAATACCAGCCACAACTTGCTTTTTTAATGAAAATATCTTCACAATTTTTTGCCGCCGAGGATTGGGGTACTTGGCTTCGATATGCTTCAAAGCTTCTGTGGCAAGATTTATTGCATTTTCAGAGTTCAAAGCGATATCTTGCACTGGATGATCTTCGCACGTGACTTCAATGTCTTTCCCATTCTTCAACCACAGCCTTTCCCAAACATTTGATACACAGTGTCGCTTAGGCAAATCTAAGAAAACACAATTTGTAATATTTTCTACTAATTCATGTTTTAAACATGACGTATAGCCTACGTCAAAATCAATTGTAGTAACACGGCCAGACGTTATTTTACTAGAATAATTGTTTACTTGAAACACTCTCTGTTTATGTTTGTGTGAAGATAACATTTCAAGTTTCTCTAGCGATTCTTGGACTAATTTATCAATAGCCATTTGATCAGTTAGTGACAATTTTGAATTAACTGATCTCTTGTTGATGACGTGTAATTTTTTAAATTCTTTTAAATGTTTTGGTTTTACTGTGACTACATGATTGTTGCCATTTTCTTTTACGTCTAATAATTCCTCATCTTCATAATCTTCGTCGTCACCTTTGTAACATTCAACATCTATTTTCATATGCCCCAACCACGGCCTATCCCAAATTTTAGTATGACAATACAAAACACAACTTTGCGGTTTCGGAGCAACTTTCCTACATTTTGTAGGAGACGCAATGTAATCAATTTCGTACAACATCCCTGAAACAACTTTCAACACTACGCGTTTTACGAGAATAACCTCGTGATGCCGTTTAATGCCTTCTAACTTTAGGTAATGACGTAATGATTTCGCAGCTAATGATTTAAATTCTGGGAGCGATGGATCTTGTTCCTCTCTAACACCTACACTCCTTTTCACTCGTTTCTTAACTTGATAGTAGTCGTCACCAAATTGGCATGATACATTTATATCTTTCTTATTAAGCCACGGCTGCTCCCAAACCTTTGATAGACAGCTTATGACGTCGCCTGAGCCCTGTTCTGGCTTAATCTTGAAATATAGCGTAGTCAAGCTGCCAGAAACAACTTGGGTTGTGACTTTTTCAATTTCTATTACTTTGTGAGGGTTGACATTTCCTGATGTCTGAAGATACTTCTGCATTGATTCCGTCGCCAACTGCATGTATTTGGGATCATTGGGATTTTGTTCCTTTTGTCCTCCTCGTATTTGTCTTTTGGTTCTCCATGAACCATCACCAATTTGGCAAGAAACATCTATGTCTTTCTTATTAAGCCAAGACTGCTCCCAAACCTTTGATAGACAGCTTATAACGTCTCCTGAGCCCTGTTCTGGCTTAATCTTAAAATATAGCGTAGTCATGATGCCAGATACAACTTGGGTTGTGACTTTTTCAATTTCTATTACTTTGTGAGGGTTGACATTTCCTGATGTCTGAAGATACTTCTGCATTGATTCCGTCGCCAACTGCATGTATTTGGGATCATTGGGATTTTGTTCTTGTTGCGCGCCTGGTATTTGTCTTTTGGTTCGCCTTGCACCATCACCAATTTGGCATGAAACATCTATGTCTTTCTTATTAAGCCAAGACTGCTCCCAAACCTTTGATAGACAGCTTATAACGTCTCCTGAGCCCTGTTCTGGCTTAATCTTAAAATATAGCGTAGTCATGATGCCAGATACAACTTGGGTAGTGACTTTTTCGATTTCTATTACTTTGTGAGGGTTGGCATTTCCTGATGCCAGAAGGTACTTCTGCATTGATTCCGTCGCCAACTGCATGTATATAGGATCATTGGGATTTTGTTCTTGTTGCCCGCCTGGTATTTGTCTTTTGGTTCGCCTTGCACCATCACCAATTTGGCATGAAACATCTATGTCTTTCTTATTAAGCCAAGACTGCTCCCAAACCTTTGATAGACAGCTTATAACGTCTCCTGAGCCCTGTTCTGGCTTAATCTTGAAATATAGCGTAGTCATGGTGCCAGATACAACTTGGGTAGTGACTTTTTCGATTTCTATTACTTTGTGAGGGTTGGCATTTCCTGATGCCAGAAGGTACTTCTGCATTGATTCCGTCGCCAACTGCATGTATTTAGGATCATTGGGATTTTGTTCTTGTTGCCCGCCTGGTATTTGTCTTTTGGTTCGCCTTGCACCATCACCAATTTGGCATGAAACATCTATGTCTTTCTTATTAAGCCAAGACTGCTCCCAAACCTTTGATAGACAGCTTATAACGTCTCCTGAGCCCTGTTCTGGCTTAATATTAAAATATAGCGTAGTCATGATGCCAGATACAACTTGGGTTGTGACTTTTTCAATTTCTATTACTTTGTGAGGGTTGACATTTCCTGATGTCTGAAGATACTTCTGCATTGATTCCGTCGCCAACTGCATGTATATAGGATCATTGGGATTTTGTTCTTGTTGCCCGCCTGGTATTTGTCTTTTGGTTCGCCATGCACCATCACCAATTTGGCATGAAACATCTATGTCTTTCTTATTAAGCCAGGACTGCTCCCAAACCTTAGATAGACAGCTTATGACGTCGCCTGAGCCCTGTTCTGGCTTAATCTTGAAATATAGCGTAGTCAAGCTGCCAGAAACAACTTGGGTTGTGACTTTTTCGATTTCTATTACTTTGTGAGGGTTAGCATTTCCTGATGTCTGAAGGTACTTCTGCATTGATTCCGTCGCCAACTGCATGTATTTAGGATCATTGGGATTTTGTTCTTGTTGCCCGCCTGGTATTTGTCTTTTGGTTCGCCTTGCACCATCACCAATTTGGCATGAAACATCTATGTCTTTCTTATTAAGCCAAGACTGCTCCCAAACCTTTGATAGACAGCTTATGACGTCGCCTGAGCCCTGTTCTGGCTTAATCTTGAAATATAGCGTAGTCATGGTGCCAGATACAACTTGGGTAGTGACTTTTTCGATTTCTATAACTTTGTGAGGGTTGACATTTCCTGATGCCAGAAGGTACTTCTGCATTGATTCCGTCGCCAACTGCATGTATTTAGGATCATTGGGATTTTGTTCTTGTTGCCCGCCTGGTATTTGTCTTTTGGTTCGCCTTGCACCATCACCAATTTGGCATGAAACATCTATGTCTTTCTTATTAAGCCAAGACTGCTCCCAAACCTTTGATAGACAGCTTATGACGTCGCCTGAGCCCTGTTCTGGCTTAATCTTGAAATATAGCGTAGTCATGGTGCCAGATACAACTTGGGTAGTGACTTTTTCGATTTCTATTACTTTGTGAGGGTTGACATTTCCTGATGCCAGAAGGTACTTCTGCATTGATTCCGTCGCCAACTGCATGTATTTAGGATCATTGGGATTTTGTTCTTGTTGCCCGCCTGGTATTTGTCTTTTGGTTCGCCTTGCACCATCACCAATTTGGCATGAAACATCTATGTCTTTCTTATTAAGCCAAGACTGCTCCCAAACCTTTGATAGACAGCTTATGACGTCGCCTGAGCCCTGTTCTGGCTTAATCTTGAAATATAGCGTAGTCATGCTGCCAGATACAACTTGGGTAGTGACTTTTTCGATTTTTATTACTTTGTGAGGGTTGGCATTTCCTGATGCCTGAAGGTACTTCTGCATTGATTCCGTCGCCAACTGCATGTATTTAGGATCATTGGGATTTTGTTCTTGTTGCCCGCCTGGTATTTGTCTTTTGGTTCGCCTTGCACCATCACCAATTTGGCATGAAACATCTATGTCTTTCTTATTAAGCCAAGACTGCTCCCAAACCTTTGATAGACAGCTTATGACGTCGCCTGAGCCCTGTTCTGGCTTAATCTTGAAATATAGCGTAGTCATGCTGCCAGATACAACTTGGGTAGTGACTTTTTCGATTTCTATTACTTTGTGAGGGTTGGCATTTCCTGATGCCTGAAGGTACTTGTGCATTGATTCCGTCGCCAACTGCATGTATATAGGATCATTGGGATTTTGTTCTTGTTGCCCGCCTGGTATTTGTCTTTTGGTTCGCCATGCACCATCACCAATTTGGCATGAAACATCTATGTCTTTCTTATTAAGCCAGGACTGCTCCCAAACCTTAGATAGACAGCTTATGACGTCGCCTGAGCCCTGTTCTGGCTTAATCTTGAAATATAGCGTAGTCAAGCTGCCAGAAACAACTTGGGTTGTGACTTTTTCGATTTCTATTACTTTGTGAGGGTTGGCATTTCCTGATGTCTGAAGGTACTTCTGCATTGATTCCGTCGCCAACTGCATGTATTTAGGATCATTGGGATTTTGTTCTTGTTGCCCGCCTGGTATTTGTCTTTTGGTTCTCAGCGAGCTTTCTTCAGTCTCTTGACATGTCACATTAATTTCTTTTACGTTTAACCACGGTTTTTCCAATACTTGCGAAAAACATCTTCGCGAGGCAGATGGCGAATCCTCATTTTTTTCTGCTATTCGAAATAAAATTCTTGTAAGTATTCCAGAAACAACTTGGACAGTAACATTTTCTACTTCATCAACTATTAAATCTTGATCAACATTTGACGTCTGTAAATACTTTAGTAACGATTCTTCTGCTAAAGACCTATACAAGGGGTCGTTTTTGTCCTTTAATAGTTGTCCTCCAACAAAATTAAGATTTGTGGATCTTTTAGATCTCGCTGTTTCTTGTTTAAATTCTGAACTAATAGAATCGAAAAAACGAATCAAATCATCGATAGCTTTCTTTTCCCCGTTCAAAGATTTTTCTTTATCTTTCACTAGACCAATCGAATTGGGATTTCGAGTGTATTGTTCCTTTGCTTTAGCTTTAGATATAATTTGCAAATTCAAATGATCTAACTCTGAACTCTGTGTTTTGTCATCGTAGCTTAACGTAGATGTTTCCAAGAAACGATTATAAGGAATAATTTCTTCTTCTAATTTTTTCAACTCTTCTTCTGTCAATGTCTTTTGAGTTAACTGCTCCGCTTGTAAGTCTGAACTATGTATAGCTTTAAGTATATCATCCACAGATCCCGTGTTAGCAATTTTGTCGTAGTCTGGTATAGGTTTTTGTCCGCCATTTACCTTTGCCCCTTGATCAAAATTGGAAGGATTTATAATACTATCATTGATTTCCCTATTTTCATCAGATATAACTTCGCCATCATCTCCGAAAATCCATTCATCTGTGCAGTTGTTGGCCAAAATTGCTCTATATTTTGAACCATCGTTAAACCTGACCCACGGTTTTTCCAATATAGTAATTTTACAAGGTTTCATAAAAGAACATTCATCTGTTACTTCATTCGTACAATTGTTATAATCAACTTTTAGCGTAACAATATAACGTACACCGTTCACCACCTAAAACATGAAAGAACTTATATAACATAAGAATGTAAGTAAACAGGAAAGCAGTAACTTCCAATCACTACTTAATATTTCAAAAGAAATTAGAACTATACAAGGAACTAAATAATTAATGCTTTAAAGGAAAGCAAACTTGTATTTTATTATTAAGTTAACAACTGACCTGAATCTGCCTCTCCACTTCGACGACCGTATTTAATGCATGCTTAACATTTGGTTCATGTCTGTTAAGGTGTCGAATTCCTAACCCAGCTAACTCATCGACACCAGCAGCTTGAGGATTCACAAAAGACGAACATCCAATACACGGCGCCACTGGAGTTTCCCTTGGTATTGCGACAAACTGTTCCCCTGAGGTAACCTAAACCAAATTTAAAGTTAAAGTTTAAAATTACAGCCTATATGCGTCCCACGGCTGGGCACAGGCTTTTTTTCATTTCTGAGATGGTTTGGGGCAAGGAAGTGTCCGCTACGCAGTCCCAATGCGTGTTGGCGGACTTCGAAATAATTTTTTTCTCAAACATACAGATTTCCTCACGATGTTTTCCCACAGCCGAGCACGTGGTAAATTAGCACTTTAAATTGCAATTAACAATTTCATTGGTGCCGGCGGGGATTGAACCCGGGTTGCTCGCGTACTAAGAAATTTACGAGCATTTGGGTTTTAAAAAGTACAAACGGATCTTTTAATATAGGTACGTAAAATATTCTAGAAATTTATTCAAATTGACAGAGCTTGAATAAATTTTTTAGTTTATCGCAGTATACTTGTATCATCCGACAAGAATACCCCGATAATCAATATATCGAGATACGTGTGGACAGCTTAATTTAGTCACAATAAACAACATTTTCTTCTTAATCATCAACTCGTAAAAGTCAAAACACTCCTGGGCATGGGTCATTGTAGAGAGAATTTGCCTTAATCATCACACCTTTTCCTTTCCTTTTCTTTTTCCTGCACTTTCATTATGGAGTTGAATATTAAATAGAATAATTTACAAGGCAGGTGTACATAATTAAGTTATTCCATCTATTCCATCCATTACAGCCTATAAAAGTCCACTGCTGAACATAGGCTACAACCATATAAATGTGTAGTGGCGGTGTAAAAATATCCACTACCCCATATCGTCCCGTGTATATCGTTAGAGGCGGCAGAGGAAAAGTAAAACTAGCGATGGACAGCAGAGTCTTTCTAATATCAATTCAAAATTATTAAAAACTGTGGTTAACTAACTAACACGCCAGCTAAGCGTGGCAAAATTGGCGAAATAGGGCAATCTATGAGGTCTATGTTCAAATACGTTAATACTGTAAAATAATATCGTTCTCTGTAATACATTTTTAAAATGCATAAATCGCGCATGCGTAGATGCTATGGAAAAATTTACTACTTCGGTTTATGTGCATAGTAACGATATTATCGGAGGTTGCTAACGCTATTCGTATTCTTCGTTTTCCATTTATTTTACTTTTTCAGCCCGTAACAGTAGTGGACATGTTTCTCACGAAAAAGAATTTGCTATGATCGTCACTCTTGGCAGGTGGAAAGGCGAATACCCCATGTCTCGCATCGCACCTTTGACAATAATTTCTGTAGACGGTCGTGAAGTTTTTATACCTCCTCGAAACAGTTTTTATTATTTAATCAAATACTGTTTCCATCGCCAAAAACGAGGGTACGCGCTTTATTGCAAATTAGACATAGGCGTTATCAGTTTTTCATGATAACGATTACATAACCTATATATAAAACCAATAATACAAACGGTTTTTAGATATCGATATGAAGCACAATTTGATTACTGTTTCTACAGTTATAGTTGCAAGCGATCGATTTAAGTCCGTGTATTTAAAAATCAGCACGCGTTTTCATTTACGCAAAATAATAAACACTTGACATTAGACTTTACCATGTTATGATAAAGTTATTTAAAATAATAACATAAAGTTTTGGCGTTCGCTATTAGGTTGGGAACCAGATAGCTAACGATAAACGCACTCGATATTCGCTCTGTCTCGTTTTCACGACTGGCAGGGTCATCAGTTAGACAGAGAGGCGGCGAATATCTAGTAGGTCTATAGTTACGTTGACGTTGCTTCGTTGCGGATCGGACTGTACTCGTATATGAGAAGTTACGCTAGCTGCGTTGCGTTTGGATTCACTTCGATTGATTGAGCGTTATTGTAAAAACTGTTGTATTTAATGCAGCATATCGATACGATATGTTTTATTGTGTGTAACCGTTTTTAGTTACGTTTTGATATATCTTACTCATGCCTATTGTAAATGTAATAAATAATTTCAGCAGTGCCGGTTTTAGGTATAGAATTAATGTGGTTCGCGAACATTTGAAATTAGTAGCTTTTATATGATTTGCTAATATTATAGTGCCAACAGTGCGAACGCAATCAAAGAGGCATTTACTTACCCTATTCTACGCGTATAGGAAAAACTGACGTAGTGTCGAAAATACGAAGATAATTAGCCGAAAATGACATAATCTATGCAAGTGGCATCGCCTAAATTGTAACCTATGAACCCGTCTCAAAGAATACTAAATAGGTTTGATTAATGTCGGAGATTATACCCCTTGTAGTGGCGGGTAAGAATAATCACTACCCTATATCTTCCTGTGGGTGTCGCAAAAGGCGACAGACCGAAACAGGCAGAAGATGGGCAGCAGCATCTTTCTGATAACAGCAAAAAACAATCAAACCAGCGGTTGCCAACCCGCTCGCCAAGCGTGGCAACTATGGCAATATACCCCCCCCCCCCCCCCCATGAGCAGTGACATTAATAAACGGCTCCCAGTCCCCGGCGGCCCCGCTATTCCTGGCTACGTTGACGACCATGGTAAATGCGGGGCAGGGGGTGCTAAGAATCTGCAGTGGAGGTTTGGTTGCCACCTACGACGACTCGATCTGGCAACTTATAACGCACGCACCCTGAGGACTGATGAGGAGATCCTGGAGCTGGAAGAAGAGATAGACAAGTTGCGCTGGAATATTATAGGATTATTCGAAGTCCGAAAAGGAGGAGGACACGGTAATCCTCGAATCCAGCAACAGGGCAACCATATGTCCCATGGAGGTGTCGGATTTATCGTCCACAAGTCTCTCGTTAACAACGTTGTAAAGATTGGGAGTGTGTCGACGAGGGTTGCATAGCTTATACTCAGAATCACCAAACGGTATTCGCTGAAGGGCATACAGGTTTACGCACCAACCTCGGCACATCCCGACGTAGAGGTGGAGGAAATGTATGAGGATATCTCTAGAGCCATGCATTCCTCCAAAACCCACTATACGGTGTTAATGGGAGATTTTAACCCAAAACTAGGCATAAGAGAGAACGGTGAGCTGAAAGTAGGGAAATTCGGAATAGGGCAACAGAACCCAACGGGCCAGCAGCTGGCCGACTTCATGGAGAAAGGGGGAATCTTTATGATGAACTCTTTCTTCCAGAAGCGGCCCCACAGGAAATGGTCCTGATCGAGCCCCAGCGTTTCTACAAAAAATGAGATTGACTTCATTATGACGGCTAAATGGCAACTGTTCAGTAATGTCTGAGGGTGAAAACTGGTAGCGATCACCGAATGGTTAAAGGCACACTGAACGTTAAGTTGCGGAGGTCACGTCTAATGAAGTCAACGCTCCCGTCCCCTTCGTGCTCTAATCAAAAGTCCCGAAACCTTTCAGCTCGAGTTACAAAATCGTTTTCAGTGCCTAGAAGGTTGCAATGCAGTGGACGATTTAAAAGACAAGCTCGTGGAAACTGTCCATGCGGCCAGAGCTATGTTTTGCAAGACCCGCCGCAGAAGAACACAAAAACTCTCCGATCACACTCGTTAATCTCATGGATGTTAGACATGAAAGTTGCAGTCTTCAGTAGATTTGATAGCATACAGGAACTGAACAGACAGATCTCCAAACGCATGCGGCGGGACTTACGCAACTTTAATACAGCTTGTATTGAAGAAGCGATCGAGCGGCACCAGGGCTCCAAAGTCTTTGTCAAAGATCTGTCTGCCAGAAAGTGCCAACTGTCGAAGCTGCAGACCGAATGTGACAGAATCGTTTCCGAGACACCTGGGATTTTGAGTGAGATTAAGAGGTTCTATGGGCAGCTATACACGTCATCGTTGGATCCACACGCAAGTGTGAGTAACGATCCAAGAGCAAGTCTAATCCGACACTATTCCGATGATATCCCGGACGTCAGTCTGACCGAGATTAGAATGGCACTCCAGCACCTTAAAAACGGCAAGGCCCCAGGCGAGGATGGAATTACAGCGGAGCTTATGAAAGCGGGTGGAAAACCGGTACTTAAAGTCCTTCAGAAGCTCTTTAATTCCGTCCTCCATGGTGGCACTACACCGGAGGCGTGGAGCAAAAGTGCGGTGTTCTTGTTCTTGGCGACAACGCTCTCTTGAAGAACTACAGACCGATTTCCCTTCTGAGCCGCGTCTACGTGCTGTTTTCGAGTCATTACGAATCGTCTCGCATGCAGACTCGACGACTTCCAGCCTCCCGAATAAACCGGTTTCCGAAAAGGCTTTAACACCATAGACCACATACATACCCTTCGGCAAATTGTACAGAAGACCGAAGAGTACAATCTGCCACTTTGTCTTGCGTATGTGGACTATGAGAAAGCCTTTGATTCTGTCGAAATTCGGGCGGTGCAGCAGTCCCTCCAGCGGTGCCAAGTGGACTGTCGGTATATTGAAGTGTCTGTGGCTACTACCTGTGCCTACTGTGGCTACGATGGCTATCCGAGAACCAGAGTACGAAACCTATCCAACTGCAGAGAGGTGTAAGACAGAGTGACGTAATATCCCCTCCCTAAAATCTTCGTATTTTAAGACGTTTTCAAGCTACTGGACTGGGAAGGATACGGTATCAACGTCAATGGCGAGTACATCACTCACCTTTGATTTGCCGACTATATAGTCCTTATGGCAGAATCACTGGAGGACCTAAGCACTATGCTCAATGACCTCAACTGTCTCCCAAAGGATAGGTCTTAAGATGAACATGGACAAAACAAAAATCATGTTTAACGTCAATGTCACACCTATGCCGGTAGTTGTTTTGAGCACTAAGCTAGAAGTTATTGACGAATATGTTTACCTGGGACAAATAGTCTGACTAGGTAAGTCCAACTTCGACCGAGAGTTCATTCGACGGATTCAACTCGGATGGGCAGCGTTCGGGAGATCACGACATATCTTCTCGTTAGATATGTCTAACCTCTAATGTTAGATATGTATGCCTCAAAACTTGAAAACGAGACTGTACAACCAGTGCATGTTGCCAGTGATGACATAGGGAACTGAGACGTGGTCCTTCACT